TAAACCGAATGGATGATTACATGATCAAACCGAAGGGATTGGATCGGATGAGTTTTGCTTCCAAAACCGATCCAATCCAGACCGCGAACACCCCTAGCTTAATGTACAGAACACAAGGAAGCAAGAGTTCTAGCTCATATTATCCAAGTTTGAGAGTGACAAGGTCTCTTATTTGTTTTCCCTCTCCTGTTGCAAGTGGCATGGATGACGTTTTCATTTTAGTGAGTAGTAGCAGCCATGAAATCTGGACTTAGTGGTGCACCATATTATCCTTCCACCACCCAGCTCATATCTCAATTATTCAAGTAATTAACAAGTGGAATTGCTACTTGTTAATTCAAGCAAAAATCACATAAATTTAATTTCATTTAATCTATCAAAGAAAAGAAATGCTACACACACAAAATTAAAACTAGATTAACAAATATATATATATATATATATAGGGGACGGTTATACTTACCACCAGGTAAGTTTACCATCTTTACAACCAATCTCCTAACCGTTAGGTTAAAATTAAATCTAATGGTTCATAATTATCCCTTATAATCCTAATTTTTGCTCTCATATTTTCTCTTTGTCTTTCTCTTTCTAAGTTTTGGAATCACCTCTCTCATCCTCTCTTCCACTGTTGTGCGCTTTCGAAATCAAATCATTGTAACAACTCTGATTTTAATTCCACTGTTGTGCGCTTTAGACATTTTCTAATGAAATTGGTTTGACTTAGACATCAAATCACTGTAACAACTCCGATTTTAATTCCACTGTTGTGCGCTTTAGACATTTTCTAATGAAATTGGTTTGACTTAGTCTATAAAATACCCTTTAGGTGATGAGATTCTCCAATGAAATTGGTTTTCGAATCACATATTTCATCAAATCAACACAAGTCTATAAAATACCCTCCAATGCGAATTATACCCAGCTTTGCGGTGGTAAGTTATTAAATTTGGACATTTGGTTTAGACAATTTATTATTTGTGGTGGTATTCATTCAGACAAATGAGAGTTGATCTTTAGATGCAGGGATTGCGGTGGAGCCTTTCTGGAATGAAAGCCAACATTATTCATTCATTAATTGGGTGCACCCTAATGACGAGTTGGAGATCCTATATGGCGATGATGACTTGCACGGAGGTTGGAAGTTAGGAGATCCGTTATTTGTGCAACAAAAATTTGGGTCCAAACCAGAAATGCAACATGTTGTGAAGATACATTGTATGAAGGGGCGTAGGACAGCCATAGTCGAAAAAAGCGACGAGTCAAGATTTGTTATGAAGTGTAAAAACCATGCCGATGGTTGTCCCTGGTACATGAGGGCAATCAAGCCGAAGAGGGGAGCTAATTGGGTGGTCCATAAATGGGGTCAAGATCACACATGCCTGAATCAGGGCCTGTCACAGGATCATAGACAGTTGGATTCAGATGTCATTTGTGCGACTATAATGAGTATGTATTCTACTGTCTACTTAGTGGAACTTCTTATTGAGTATATTGTAAAGTTGTGTTTTTTTTTTTTTACCGATATGTTTAAGGAAGATACATCTACAAAACCCGCTCTAATTCAAGAGAGAATACAGGGAATATATGGATACAACATATCGTACAGGAAGGCCTGGAAGGCAAAAATGAAGGTCATTGTTAAGTTGTATGGTGACTGGGAGAAATCGTATGGATTCTTGCCCAATTGGCTGACGTATATGACGCAGGTGAATGTGGGTTCTGTGTTCAAGCTTGATACAAATCAATGTTTTGATGAACGTCGGGTTTATACAGACACCCTAATAACCCAAAATACATCCACTAAAATAAAACCCTCATGTGAAATCCTATGGAGTGGAATCTGATTGCGTGTCCTCCCCATTCTCATCATCCTCCTCCACATCATCATCGGAAGCAACAGCCGCATCGGCCTCCTCATGAGTGTGGGCACCCCTGCTGTAGGCAGCCTCCAAGCGTGTAACCCTAGTGTCAATCTGGTTCCGCCACTTGCTTGAGCTCTGTCTATATCCTCTAAAATCAGTAGTCAATGAGTCAAGGCCACATGTCAGACTATACATGGATGCCATGACATGATCAAGTGTCCACCAATCTCAGGAGCTGTCCATCCACCCTCAAGAGATGGAGGAGCTGGTGGTCGTCGACTGCGGGTGGGACGTGCCCGTCTCTCATCAACAGCAGCAGCGCCATCATCATCGTCATCGTCATCAAGGCCTGCATCATAAGTCATGAAAAGCACATATTATAGTTAAGAACAGAAAAAAGAAACCAACAATAATGCATAAACCATAAAGCCAAAACACATCACCTGCAGGTGCATCCTCCATCTCAGCATCGTGGTGGACTGGGATCTCAGATGGTTCTGGTGCCTTCTTCCAGTACCAGATACCCGCTCTGTTCGGCAGGATCCCACACTGCTTCAGAAGCCTCTCACCAAATATAGCATTCTAGCCTCTGGCGGTTTTCAAGGTCTCTGTTGCCATAGGCACACCAAATCTATGCAGAATCTTCTGCACCAGGAATGCAAAAGGCAATTCAGCCCTCTTTGACTTGGCAGCCTTCCACATCAGTATGCATATATAATGCCTCCAGTTCACCTGCCGACGGTGAAGGAGGGCCCACAAGATGACAAAGTCCCCTTCCAGCACCTTCGAGTGATTATGCGGGTGCTGGAAAATAATATGTGTCACCACGTAATGAAGAATGCGAGCAGACACCGACAAGTTGCTCACAGGATAATGAGCAAAATGTCCGGCCTCAGCGTCTGCCCTCCTAGTCTCTGTAACAACGGCCTCCCGGTCATAATCACCAATTATATGATGGTTGTCTCCATAATATAGTGCTGCTCCTGTGACACTATCAAAATCGAACCCCAGTAGCTCTGTCCAGATAGGAGCAGTCATGATGATATCAATCCCGCAGACACGGGAAGTCAGCTCGCCATGCGCATAGCCAAGGTTCTGGTAGAAGGCTCTCACCATAACCTCCGAGTATGGGCACTGCATCTCCGCAAGGACAAGTAAATGTGTCTCCTTAAGAAGCGGCACAATGTCAAAACGCTCCAAGTTGAAGAAGGCCGAATCCAGTGATTTCGGCTCGCAAATCCTCCGGCTCATGAAAGACTTCACAAACCTCTCGTGAGCAACTATGTCATCCTCAAACAAATATCCGAACGTCAAGTCCGGAGACTGACTCACAGCAGCCTGGGGCTGAAAGGACGACGACCCATCGTGTCGACTCTTGGTTCTTCTCTCGGTATTCCCCACCGGCAGCTTTGAAACGCGTCTAGAACTCATTGCGTCACACTATTAAACTGAAAAAAAAAAAAACCAAAATCAGAAAGATACAGGTTAGGGTTAGGGTTAGGGTTAGGGGTTAGGGTTAGTAATTTCAAAAATTAATCGGTCAAAATCATATAACATAACCATGCAAACTATAAAAACGCAATAATTTCAAAGAGGGAGGGACAAACATATCAAAATCAGAACATATTTGATAACTATGGAAAAAAAAAACGAACCTTGGCTGTAGATTCAATCGGTTGAAGGCAGAGATTCACACGTGCGCGAACTGATGATCACAAAAATGAAGAATTTGAGCAAGATTTGGTGTGAGAATCGTGCAACCAACACACCTCCAGCAGCTCTACTCGGGTACCCCTTTGTTGGGTTTCGAAATGGGGCTGCTGGGTTATATAAAAATCCTACCGTCGAGATTTACCCAGGTACACCCCTCCTTACCCGAGGTAAATAATTCAAACAATTTTCCAGAACTCAAGAACTATACCCGGGTACACCCCTCCCTACCCGGGTATGCATAAAATTCAAAAAATACCCGGGTAAAGAGGGGTGTACCCGGGTAGGCTTCGTGGTCAACGGTCAAACAGGGGTAGAGTGGTGTTATGTTTGTTGGGGAGGTTAAAATTTCGAAATAGTTTTAAATGAAGGTCAATTTGGTAATTAATAATTAATAAAGGGTTATAAGGGTCAAAAAGCCGGCTTCCATTGGTTAGCTTAGTTTGTATCTGAGGTGGTTACTTCTGCCATAATATCGTCCAAAGTAATAAAACTAGGGGGAAAATGTGTGTCATTTTAAATGACACGTCTTATATCCTTTCACTCTTATAAAGTGATGAGACTCACATCTTTAAAACTTTTTCCTTTCATTCTCTCTCTTATTATTTATCTCTTTCTCTCACTTAAAATGACATAACTTTGTGTCCTTTAAAATGATACACACTTTTTTCTCTAAAAGTAGTAATAATAAATTATTGGACAATGTCGTTACCAAAACTTCAACTTTTAAGGCAACCTTAGGCTCGGTCCCACTGAAAATTATGTTTTGTAACCCTGGCCACGAAATGAATCCACATGAGGGTTCATTGACCCAAAAACGTTTCATTTTTCATATTTCTATTTATCAGCAATTGCTTATGGCCTTTCATAATTTTCATTTAAAGCAAACTGAAATGCTTATTATGCCCAGACTCTGGATTGAGATTCCCTGGATTTTTGAAGAAGTGCAATCATTGCCACTAAACTTGGTTAAAAAAAAAAATCATAAATTTCAGTAACCCAATGAATAGTTGATCATGATGTATAAATGTCTTGCAGTGGACTTTTGGCTGACTGAGCCTAAAATCTAATGATCCAAATATCTGTCTTTTATAGGGAAAAAAAAAAAAAAGATCATGAAAAATGAAGTAAAGAAACAAAAGAACAAAATCCATGGGAGTTGGGATCCTGATACTGCAAAATATTGTGAAAACTCTAATGTAAATGGGACTCACAGTCACACACAAAAAAAGATGACCCTCATGTCATATTTGGGATTGAATATGGTAGCAAGTGACAACTTTGGTTGAGTTCTTGTGTAGGATTGATGTGTCTTACATGTTAAGAATAAGATGCTGGATGCTGAAGTTACATACATATCTGGCCATAAAAATAACCGTAATGTGTTACTTTTCCAACTCCAACAATTGAAGTTCACAATAAGATCTATATACACTGATTCTGACCAAATCTAGCATTCAAAACTAGCCTAGCTACAAGGAGACGAAGCCTTTGAGATCCTGGACCAGGTCTAATCTTGTTGATGTTACCAACCATGGAACATTTGGGTTTGCCAGAACACCAACCACCTAGGGTGAATTGTCCCTTTTCCCTATGTAGTAAATTTTCATCAATCACATCCAAGACTGGATCATCTTGCTTAAATTTCCTAGCAAAGGCAGCACCACTTGCAATCATTTTGTTGGTGTCATTGATGTTAAGGACATGTGGGTGCTGTTTGGGAGGGATGTCCCAGGAAATATAATGCAAGTCATTGTTGACAACAGTTTTAGCTAGTTCTGGCACATTGCATACAACAGTCTGAAAGTAGCCTTCAGGGGAGGATATGAAATTAGTGTAGTACATAAGAAGGGTCCTTGGTAGATTATCCCAACCCCAGACAACATATTCTACAAATTCCCTTGATACAACCACCCATGCTGAACCTGCAAGGTAGCTACCATGATTTAATGAAAAAAACTTTGGAAAGCAAAGTAGATAATAATCATAATAGTAAAGGGGAAAAGGACAGTGATGAAACCCAATATTATAGACTGTAAATTGAAAGAAATATAAATGGAGACAAGCTCCTTACAACACAAATGGCAGAAAATAAACCTAGAAAACCTCAACTTCCCCTCAAAGCCAACATACCTAAGCTCCTTGAGTTCCCTAGAGATCCCCAAATTTTCCCACTAAACCAATACTAAATACAGGCATACCTCACTACATACTCTCACTCACCTTTTATCCTACTCAAAGAATATTCTAAAATAACTAACTAACTAATTGACCCACTAACTTTTAGGCCCATCAGACAGCAAACAAAAAATCAGTTTTATGGAAAATGGGAAATGATTGTTATGCAGGTAGGGAGCCATAGCAGAAGATGTCTCAATCAATGTGCTAAGCAACAAATTATATTATATATTCTGGACACATCTCTCAATTCAAATTTTATGACTTTATAGGTCTTTTTTACTTATATGTTCCTTACTTGGCCATTTTTACCAGTTGCGTGTCTTCATATCACTCACATTTGAATTATCAAAAATGACATCATGTGACCACATGAAAAACTAGAAATTCTTAAATTTAAGCTATTGATCAAGTCTGAAATGTTAGTCTTGTTATTAGAATGTATTCATCCTCAAAAAAATGAAAGCTACTCTAACATAACGAGACAGCAGACTCATCGAAAACCGATACTTTGTAAAATTAGTAAGGTTAAACAGCAGAATTACATTAGCTCATAGATTTTAAAAATGTTCGACAAGAAAACTCAAGTCTTGAGATTGTTTAATCTATACTTATTCCCCTCATTTTTTTTGATGCAAAAAGAGAACCTTTCCCGAAACAAGCAAGTTTTTCATGATTGCAAATTACACATAGATACATTACCACTATTTTTAAATAATTTGTGTCCTGGAAGCCAGTTGAAGTGGTGTCTGCAACTTATGATTGGTTTAGTTCTCTTTCATTCTCCAAATAAGCATAAGCATAAGCATAAGCAAAACAAATTGAATAGTGATAAAAAAAAATGAAGGTGTAAAGGGACAAACTAACCAGTAAATAGTTTAAATGCTGTTGGTAAAATTCTCTCAGGACCGACCGAAAATACCTCAGACTTGTTTGACTTGTAAAGCCCTGGGTCTATAATCAAAGGCATTGCTCGTTTGTACCTGCACAGTGTGGTTCAATTCTTAATGTATATATATCGAGGTTGCATATTTTAGGAGAAGAGGACAATTCATCATAATGTACATATCAGAAAGAAACTTACAGTTTCCATCCTAAATGACTTGTATGCTCAATGAAGTTAATGTTTCTATCTAAATCAGAAAAAGCATATAGAAGATCTGCACAAACATATTAACCATATTAGTCTAAAGATCATTGAGCAAAAACAGTTGCAAATCCAAACAGTTTGAATCGGAACCAAAAAGCTAATTGAAACAATCTTAAAGATAATAAACTAACCATCCTGAGTCACAAGAGGGTAGTCTGAAGCACTAAGGTTAATAAACCAATCCCAGTCTTGAATTTTCTTGAGCAGAATAGCACAAGCATGAAGGGTATTAGCAACCATAGTTGGTCCTCTATAAGTGACCATATTAGCTTTCTGAATTATGTAAACATTTCCAACCTCAGTGAAGACAGGCTGTTTATCAATTCGAGAAGCAAGCTCCAGCCTTTCCACTAGCGGTGACTCAAGGTCCAAATGAACAATATAATGGTTTAGTGGATGATAAAGAGCAAGAAGGGTTCTCCAAAGCTTCTCCAAATCACCTTTTGAGCCAGAAATCAAATAAGCAAAACGAGGAATTGCAAGTCCAGTAGGAGCTGGAGCAGGAGCAGGAGCAATCTTTGTCTCCACAAAAACTGGAGCAGTTTGGTTTATGGGAAGACAAGATGGAAGAAAGAAGAATATTGAAGTGAAGTTGTGAATTGAAGAGACAAGTCCCATGTTGCAGTACTTGACAAGAAAGAACATGTACATTGCAGAGATCATAATGATAGGAAATAGCCATTTCTTCTCCATATTATAGGACCCCATAATGGAGCCTTATCATGGGTTCTTATCCAATTCCATGAATCACAGAAATAAAATTTCCAATTTACCCATCTAGCATCCACTGAAATGAACATATTTGGGATCCTCTTCATATATCTTCTCAATCATCTTTTGCCTTTGAAGCTGTTGAATCCACATCATGTATTGAATTCAAGAAATGAATAATGATATTAATTGTTTTCATAAACAGAGGAATTGCAGTTTCCGAAATCAAACAGGTTAAGTACCAAATACCAATAAATAAATAAAGGAAAAGGAAAAGGACAATTCAAATTACCAAAAGTGCCAGATACGTGTGTAAGCATGTGTTATTTTTAAATCAGTAACCTTTTCCTATCAGAAAGTGACAAATCTGGAGCATATAAAATATCGACAAAGTGGCAAAAGAATAAAACTACATAAAGACAAAAAACTTGTACTTGTGTTGTCAATGAGCTATTAAAAAAGAAACGATAAAAGAAACCGGCCAATTGGAATTCGTGATTGTAACGTAATAGACCAAAAAACAAGGATCTAGATCAAATCGTTGTATCGACTGAATTACAATGAACACCATTTGAGCTCAAGTAATGATCTACAAATTTGAATCCTTTACTGTATTTTCAAAATGCTTTTGAAAGAATAAAAGATGTGCTCCCCCGAAAATGGCTTGGAAAGAAAAGAATCATTAAAAAAGGAAAAAGAGAAAAAAACGACAAAATGGACAAAATCCAGACAAAAAATTATACTTTTTTTTCTTTTCTTAAAACATATAAAATAACATAAACACAAAACATACGACAACAGAAACAGCTTGGCGAAGAACACAAGGCTGAAATTTAAGCACTAATGTGCATGAAGAAACAGGCAATAAATCACATGGTTAATCATAATCTGAAAAGTACTTTTTATGTGACTGTAGAAGGGAAAAAGTGCAGCAACACTATACGCGTCCGAATCTTGTTTTTTTTTTATAGAATCCGCACGTGTATTCTAGTGTTAAAAATTTGCTGCAACTTTTCTCATCAACAGTCACATGAGAAGCAACAGACCCTCTATATATATAAGGGTTTAGCGGATTTATAGTGACCGGATCTAAGATTTGATATGGTAAAAAAATTATAATTATGTATTACGGATAAGGGTGCTAAACAAACCAATGACCTTTGGCTCGGCTATGAAGACCTCAGCTTACATGTCTAAAATTGATTGGTGGCACTAGGCTGAGATTTTCTTCTATACTACTGCTGTACGTTACAGCATTTTCCTAAATTGGAAATTTCTAATACCACTTGAATCCAAGTCTTTTCTCATAATTCCTTTCAAATCCAAAATTTTTCTTTTTTTAGAAGTGATGTATGGTGCAACAGTAGTACCCAAGGTTTGCTCCACTAGGCTTGGACTTGTATAAAAACTTATTTAATAAAAAAGCCTCAGACTCCAATTCAAAAGTTCGGCCTTAAAGCCTCTCAGGTTGACCTAGCATAATATTTTTTATTTATATTTTATAGTTTTTATACTACTTCTAATAGCCCTCTCTTTCTCCTCAATGCATTTCACCCCATTTTATTGATTAAACAAACTTTTTGAATGATTTTGTTCTATATTATGTTGTTTGGATATAAATTGAATTTATGAATATTTATGGAATTACTAGGGTTGTTGATTGTATATTCTGTTTGGATAAATTTTTGTTGTCTTATTTTTTTAAACAGGCTAAACAAGGCTTTTATTTTTTTGTAAATAACTCAGGCCACATGCCGATAGTTATATTTATAACAAGTAACAGGCTTGGTCTGACACATTTTAACACAGGCTTAGCCTTTTAAGACCAAAGCTCGGCTCGGCTCGGCCCGTTAACACCCCTAATTACGGATAGTATATAACTATGATATTAAAGTTATTTTTTTCTCTCTTCAGAAAATTCACTCCATACTACGGGTAGTATATGTTGGTCCTAGATGAACTCAAAATGGGGTGAATTGAGTTTTACAAAAATAATTTGCTAATTAAAAATTAACTCAAAACAATAATTCAAGATAAGGAGAGAAATATTGACATAGTAGTTTTTATGTAGAAAACCCAAAAGGGAAGAAAAACAACTGGCCTTAATATCGAATATTGAAATTCGACGGGCAACTCCGCTATGAAACTTATGTACAATGAATTCTCTAGTATCCTAGTTTCCTAATTTATCCCTTACACAAATTCTCACCTGGTATTCTAGTTTTCCAATACGAAATCCTAACCCTTTAGGATTCTGAAACCCTATAACACAAGGGTTCTCAAGTCACTCTCAATTTTCAAGAAAAAGAGATATGTTGGTATCCCAGTTTCCCAGCACAAGAACTGATATATAAGTTTCTCAGTACATACCTTCAAAAAGGTCAAGAAGAAAATTACAATTAAAGTGATTTACCTCAATGCTTCTTTTTCTCAAGAAGATAGGTAATATGAATTCCTACGGAGAAATATTCACTTTGCCAAAAGATGAATGCATGAATGAATGTTTTTGAAAAAACTTTTTAATTGATGCACAATAATGAATCCTAATCTTGAAAATCTATTTTTCTTTTTTCTTTCTTATATATACTTTTCACTTCTCTCTCTTGTATTTTTTTTCCTCTTATGAATAATATGCAATGAGCCTTATTTATAATAATAACATTTTCTCTCTCCTAAAAGCCCAAAAGATATACATTTGAAATTTGAAATTGTAACATCCCGGGCGCTGACGAGGGCGGGGAGTGATCGCCGGTGCGCAAGGGTACGGACAAGGAGCGGCTCCTGGCAAGCTCCAGCGACATGAATGAATCGAATCAACACCCGAAAGAGAGGGATTCCAGAGACTGTGTTGGTATGAGACAGTACAATTGAGAATGACTTATAAGAATTAATTGGTACTACCTATACTAACGAGATGCATCTGCTTTTCGGTAGCCCGGATCGGAAGAACTCCACAGTTAAGCGTGTTTGACTTGGAGCAATTCTGGGATGGGTGACCTCCTGAGAAGTTTTCCCAGGAAGTGTGCGAGTGAGGAAAAAACACACTGAAAAGTCTCGTGTTAGTATGTGGGGATAGTCGTTGATTCTTGAAGTGGCCAGGCGTTACAAGTGAAAGAACTCCACAGTTAAGCGTGCTTGACTTGGAGCAATTCTGAGATGGGTGACCTCCTGGGAAATTTTCCCGGGAAGTGTGCGAGTGAGGACAAAGCACGCTGAAAAGTCTTAGTGTGTGGGGACAGTCATTGATTCTTGAAGTGGCCGGGCATTACAGAAATCTTTTCTAAAAACCAACCAGAAATCTTTTACCCTTAAATGAAATTTTAAATGCAATTTTCAAAAATAAGATTTGTGATTTTTTCCAATAAAAAAGTATGTAAAGCTTAAATATCTTATTCTATAATACAATGCAATTTTAATCTAAATCTTTGGCAAAGTATTTTATTTCTCATACATGAAATCTAAAAAAGATAAAATTTATCCTAAATTTTACTTGATTCCATATTTTTCTCTCTCTTCATGATATTTTCCATATCTTCTCCATTCTTCATGCAATCTTCAATTATCTTGAATACTATTTCAAATCAGAATAAATATTATTATGAAATCTCAAACAATAAGGTTAGTAATTTCAAGACAATACATTATTATCAATTAAATTAAGATTAAATTAATTGTAATCTTCAAAATATATTTTAAATTAATTAAACAATTGGGGTATAACAAATATCCACAATTTCTCTTTTTTGATGATGACAATCAATTTATGCCATGTACCAATAAAAATTAATTCAAGGATAAACATAAATGTAATCACACAAAGATGAAAATAAATATAACCGTTAGATCAACATAATTAATCTAACGGTGAGATTGATTGGTAGTAGTATGGTAGTAACATATGTTACAATATCCTTTTTCTCAATAATTAATTACTTAACGACCCAATCGGTCTATTTTATAAATTTTTAAAACTAAAACCGTAATAAAAATTGAGTTCATCCTAAAGCCATCTGATGAATCCTAACAAGAATTGAAGCAACCATCGTTGAAATTTGACGAAGCCAGAAAAAACCCCACTTTTCTCGATCAATCAAATCACGCGTACGTCGTTGTTATCTATATCCTGAAGTCCAAGGTCTGAAGCTCGCTAAGCTTCTTGCATATTTTCTAGAAAAGGAATCCCAATGTAAAAGTTCGACACCTGTCTTGAAGAATTTTTTTTCTTTCAACAATGATTTGATTATTTTTGGTGAATTGCCTATCTTATGTTCGATAAAATGCCTGAACCACCAACTCACCTGCCTTTGATTTGATTCTAGTTTCTCATATTAGTTATGTGCTATTTGATTTTCAATTTTTTCTCTATTTATAGACGTGGTTTTCCTTGCACTAGGTTTCTGTGTTGGTATGACAAAGACCATCTGAATGTAGATGTGGTCACCACTACTGAGTACCCATCTGTTAGGAGTATAGTTAACTTAGTTTAGATTTACTAAGTTGTTACTTTCTCTAGTCTTAATGGTTGGTGTTGTGGTCATGTACCCAAAACTCACATTTTCGATTCATATATTTAATCTTTTGCAAATGCAAGACACGGCTATATACCATAGACCCTTCCATGGATTCTGTGAATGGCGGGAGCTTTATATTATTGGGCTGTCCTTACTTTCTTTGATCTGTGCCAGTCACATCTTTGGCTTGTTATGCAGAATACACCTTTTCTCACTCAATTTGATTCTCAGATTCCCCTTTATTGCTTTCTTTCCTCCCTGCCATGTTTTGCAACACGTTTTTTATGCAATTTGATTTGAATTGGATTTTGTGGCTGTTTGAATTGATTGATTCATTGTTTGTTTGTGATGCTTTGTTCAATGATGGAATCGACTCTCCTAAATGCTATTTGTTGTTTCTGATGTCAATAGACTTTCAAGCTCTGTTTTTTCGGAGAATTGACTGGTGTGACTGAATGGGGGATGGGGATAAGACAAGGAGAGTCGTTTTCGTGACTGTAGGGACGACTTGTTTTGATGCTCTTGTGAGAGCAGTGGATTCCCAGAATGTTAAAGAAGAGTTGGTTGCAAAAGGGTATACACACCTTCTCATCCAAATGGGTCGTGGATCCTATGTTCCTACAAAGGTAGTTTTCAAACGTTTTCAATTTTTGTTTCTAGTAGTTCATTTTCTGATCTAAATTGCTTTTTTGGTTGTGCATTTTCATTTACAAGTTATAACTAGATTTTAAAATCAACTTGTGCTGAAATGGGCTATGAAAAATAATATGGAATTGTCACTTGAACGTTTACTGAATACTGAATGATCCTTCTAAACTTAACTTGATGTCATGACTGTCGATTGGGGTGGAGAAAGTTTGAAGAATCTTGGAGATAATTGGGTATTGCTGATTTAAGAGAGAATGGCAGAGCTGTAATACCATGTTGGTTCTATGAATTGATCATAAAATCGATTTTGTCCATTGCATTGATCACCGGAAAAATATAAGTACATCTGTTTAGTAGCACGAGCCGTATGCCTGGTTAAAGCCATGTGACAGTGCAACCAACTCACAACTTAACAACTCGGAGAGACAAACTAACATCTAGGAATTGTACGTGCAACTAAGTTTAACTAACAGGAGAAATGAAGGGAAATAACAATATGTAGAAAATTGTAGATAATCTTGCCTTGTTTGAAATTTAAAACAAAAGGAACACAATTCCATTACTTCTGTACACAAAGTATCGACAAATATCTGATACAGTTGTGCCGAGAAACAAATTTGGAAGGGTATATGAGAGGAAGAGAAATAGAGGATTCCAACACCCACTTACAATTGCTGAGTCAGCATTAGTTGGTTAGAGGGCAATCTAATGGTGAGAGTCACACTGATGGCATCACACGAGGTGGGTTACTAATAGCAAGTGGAGGATCATTTTAGAATCATCTTGGAAAGTTGGGGCTCTGGGGCTCTTGGAAGAGATCCAAAACCTCGGAAATTGTTCTTGATATCAGTGTCTGTTTTGTTAATTCGCAGTCTTGTAGCTTTTGTTTGTTCTGTAATTTTCCTTCCCAGTTCTTGTAAATTTCCTTGAACACTACAGTGTAATACCCATATTGGATCTGTGTTTGCATTCAATCTGATTGATACACGTTTCCTTTTCAAATTTTCTTTTTCTCTGACTCTGTTTCGTGTAGTATCCTTTTCAATAGCAGATACTTCTATTTTTACCGAGTTTGTTATTCCTATTAGTATACTTTTTGTTGCAGTCTGAAGGAGATAGTTCGTTGACTGTAGACTACTTCACTTTTTCATCCAGTATTGCAGATCATCTCAGATCAGCTTCTCTTGTCATTAGCCATGCTGGTATGCTTGTTCAGCTTGTCTTTTGCATGCTTTTTTACTAATTATTATGTAATGACAGACACGTTATAATTCTCAAGTCTACACTGTCAGTTTATCTGTTACTTGGTCTTGGTGGCTTGTATTTTGCTCTCTTGTCCATTTGGGTGTTAGGTATTGTGATTAGTGATTTATTGTCAATGGTGTTTGGTTAATATTTGATGACCTTTTCCTTTGAAACAAACTTGGCTTAGAAAACTTTTGGTTCAGTGTAACTGGGTGCAATTGTGACTCACTGGTTGGAGCTAAGAAAGAGATAATGAGAAATGAGTAGCAGCTGTCATCACAAGCTGCCAAACCAGTCAAAGCATGAGATGTAGTTGAGGAATATATTTTTTGTCTTGATCAAATGAGGAAATGATAAAAAATTTGCTATGAAATAATCCAGAAATAACGGGCTTGTAATGGTCAAAATGAGGGTATGGTGCAGCGCGTGATGTCAAATAAATGGAATTATTTTACAGACTTGTTAGTATTGAATTGATGCATTTGTAAGTTAAAGAGTTGAGTATGATTTGTAAAAAAATTTCTTATTAAAGAATCATTGTAGATTTGCTTTATCATTCCTTCCCGTGTGGCCCACAGACGATGTGGAAATGATTGCCAAGTTGCATTGATAAGATCAACCGTGTGATTGGATGTGTTCCAATTCCTATATGTGCTGCCTTAAAGCCTTTCTGCATTAATTCCTATCTATGCTGAAAATCCTGCATCCATTCATTGCCTTTCATCATGAGTGGACAACATGTATGATATGACTAAAGGAAAATTTAAGTGACCTATGTTTTTATTGTTATTTGGTTCTAGGATAAGTAACTGTAACTATTCTAATTTTATGCAGGGTCAGGTAGCATATTTGAGACATTGCGGCTGGGAAAACCTTTAATTGTGGTTGTAAATAAAGATTTGATGGATAATCATCAAAGTGAGCTTGCAGAAGAACTTGCCAACGGAAAGCATCTGTATTGTGCAAGTCCTGAAACACTCCATCAAACTATAGCAGATATGGATTTAAAATCTCTCCTTCCTTACACTCCAGGTGATGCTACACCAGTGGCCAAGCATATAAACAGATTTCTTGGTTTTCCTGATGATTGATCTGAAGGGTTTTTTTATTTATTTATGTTAAATCTTTGAGTGACGATAATCGATTCTGGTAATATCTGGATGCCCCCAGATATTCTAATTTTGAATTGCTAATGCTGTATTGGAGATCATATTCTAAGCAAGCAATATAAGTGGTGTGTACCTAATGATTTTGGATTCAGCTCTTTTAGGAACTCTTGTACTTTTATTTTCAACGCGTAACTTTTGCAGGTTAAGTTGTGACCCTCAAATTTTGTCTGAGGAAGATTGTGTAGAGAGGAGGAATTATGTGCCGCACGTTCAAATTCTTTGCTTAATGTAATGCTTTGTTATTGACCAATTGGAGATGAATAATAACTGCTAATAGCAAATATCAAATGTTAAATGTTAGCTTCATTAGGTTATTGCATATATAACATATGGGTTGAGTGTCTGTACACATAAAGTCGTGTCTTTTTAGTTTTTAATATTATGTCTTACCTGTAAAATATAGTTATAATATGAAGAAAAAAAATTTCTCTATCCACGTCAAAGTGATTGAGAAAAGAGAAAAAAAATAACTTTTCATATTATAATTATGTATTACCAGTAAGACATAAAGTTAAATACAATGTTGTGTCCTTTAAAAGCACACATTTTTTCCCATAATATATTAATAATTAAGCGCTCAAACGGAGATGGGGTCCTCAACCTTGGTATTTATGATGTTATTTTGCTTAATTAAAATTTTTATGGCATTTTTTTTATATTGATCCTCAATCTAAAGGAGTATGGCGAGAGAATTTTGAGTTTAATTATGACCAAATATATAATTGGGAAGGAGTGAAGAACTTTAGTTGTAATTAAATCTCGATTCGAGATTAGTCTTATAGCCGACTTCAAATGTTGAAACTTGTGGGTATACAAAACATTCGGGATTGACTCATCTCAAAAATTTAATTAGAATTGATATAAAAAATAGGTTGAGTGCTATGCGGCAACGTTTCAATTACCCATCATTAAATGAGTAAAACACATTAATTAATATTTTATAACAGTTGCAAATAAATGTGCTGAGTACTAGATAAAATATTAAATATAAGTAATTAAAATATTCATTGATTAAGTAATATTATCAATAAATAATATTAAATATATATTCAACAATATTTAATTGTTAAGTGAAACTAATATTTATATTTATGTTAACTGCGTCTACAAGTCAAGTACTCGGGTTGGAGGTGCTTTAAATTATAGTCGTTACGAGTAAAAAATTAAATTTAATTAATTGAGATATGTGGAAATATTGAGACATGAAAATTGAAGATTATCACGAGTTGCCAATAATTGAAGATTTGATATTGCGATATGATTATTGACCATGCAAAATATTGATATTGCTCCGGTTTTGGAGGAAATCTACCACATAGTCATGATAGAAGATTAACTTTGAGGCAATTTTTTGGGAATATTGAAGCTATTTTAAGTAGAGAATTGAGCTATCTTGGAAGAAACAAGCTAGTTGATCGAAAGAAACATGTGCCGAGAAGAATTTAGTAAAGAGCTGGTTAGAAAATGTACATAATATCGAAATTAAAGTCAAAAGTAAAGGTTGTTTGGATAGAATGTATTTGTACTAGTTGATGACATGGTTCTTTACCTTAGTTATAGATCGTTGGATAGTCGACGATGATTCCTTTGAGTACTCTGTAAAGCTACGATGTACTGACATCGACACGGGACACGACACGACACGACATTCTGATACGTAAATTTTAAAAAATATCATATTCCGACACGTTAAGACACATTTTGATATTAAATAATATTTTTAATATATATAATATAATTTATATTTAATACATATAATATCTTATAATAAAGTATATAAGTAGAATATTTTTTTTTTACTCAACTTCTTTAGAATTCCTTTAAAAAAGTAAAGCACAAATAAATTTATTATTTTTAAAATCCATAAAATGGCATTAGACAACACTTATAAACAGCCAATTAAAATTGACGTGGCCAAGCTATTTAAAAAGAGAGAAAACCTAGTACAAATAGAAGAAAGATGGTGGAATAATGGCATTCTATTGGTCTGTGCAAAAGCACACGGATCGCAAAAAAAAAAAAAAATCATAGCCGTAGATAAGCTAAAGTTACATGGCCATGAAAACACAAATCCACCTAACCTCTGTTGACATCTCAAATACAAGACAGGTTCACTTTAGGCAACCAGACTCAACAATGCAAGTGGGTGGAATAGTGGGATACTGGGATAAGCGTAGACTAGAAGAGAAATTTGCGGTGCTGAATATTGAGATCTTGTTGTTCTTGTGGGTATAAATATCACGAGGTCGTCGGTGGCCCTTCATATCCGGTTCTGGCGGGATTTCAATTTGAGAAGCCACCGGATGATTGGCGGTGCCCGACGTCTGAAGGCGATGAAGAGTTTCTGCCATGGGGATTTATAGATTTTATTTTATAATTATTTTAATTTTATAAAAATCTCAAAAAAATTACATTTCTACCCTTTGACCGTGTCGGACACGGTCAAATTCGCGTGTCGAGATAGTCAATGTGTCCGAAAAAATTGACCGCATGTCGAACGCGTGTCGGTATCTGACACATAATTTTTTTTTTCAAAACAACGTATCCGTGCTTCCTAGCTGTCAAGTATTAATTATGCACTGGGTTTGTTAACATATATTATGGTCATAAAAGCGTTGTATGTTAAATTAAAGTAGCAGAAGAATTAATTTTTTTCTTTTATATTTACATTATATATTTTTCCATTCCTAATTTATTTTTTCATTTATTATAAATTATACAGTCTCACACCTGTGCAAAATTAATACTTGACAACTCTATAAATAGTTAATGATCAAATAACTATTCAAAAATAATATTTTGTACTATTTTGGATAAAGTTTCAACATAACAACTGTAAATTGGATAATCAGGGATCATATCTCACTATTTAATCTTGTAATTGATAACAGACAAGTCCTGTCCACAAAAATATATACACATATAAGTACCAAAAAACGACTTCGTGCCATTACTAATACTATCTCACCACATAATATACATCATATACATAATCCTAACATATCACGGTTTACAAATCATATAAATACAATCATCCATTAAAAATACATATCTGCCAATACATAGATACATAGTGCATGATACTATAACATGCCCACAAAAAGTATATGAAAATCCATCTGGTATGCTCTAATCCTATGCGGGTCCCTTGCCTTGTGAGAGCTCTTCTACTACTGCCTTACCTGAAACATGTCCTCAAAATGGGGTGAGCGATAACATCTTAGTAAACTCAGGGTTTATGAAGTAGTCTCTACTCATGAGTTTACTTCCTGCATGAAAGGTCAAATAACATAGCATAGAATACATTATATATTTCGAAATATACACAACATATCCAGTGGCTATACTCCACGGCTGTATCCCATAATGAGAGCCAACATATACTTCCCAGCACCATGAGTACAACGTATGAAAGTCATACATATCAATATTATACTTCCCGACACCATAAGTTCGACGTATGAAAGTCATACATATCATATTATATCATATACATAACCTACATGAATGCTACTATACTAGTATCTAACAATCAACAGTCATAAATCAGAAAACCAAATTCCCACCGGACCATGGTGGAACAACAAAGAAGAAGAAAATCCTCCTAAACCAAGAGCTTACCTCTCGATGCTCATATATCACGACTACTTGAGTTACAAGTAACCTTCGTAAGATTCTCAGAATCCTGATCTGAAATCACCATATCGCCTGATACACATTACATCATAATACTCGTTAACTTAACATACTTGACAATTTCATACCTACACCACAAATCAGACCTAAAACTCATAACTTGACACTTGTTCACATAGTTTTAAACCTACATCAAAGTACCACAAACTATATATTCTACCTCTTGAATCTACTTGAAATACACTTCAAATAAGTTTATACTCTTTACTTATAATTAACTTGATTCCCAAACACTTACCTCACAACTTGTCCGAACCCTACGTGCACAACATACACATCTTTCCTAGTTTTTCACTTATCAATTCATCACACTTAAATACATACAAATACCATTTAAAACAACAAACCACAATTCAACTCTATTTAACTACAAGTGGTCCAATGGTATATAGGTAAATCTCCTAGACTTATTCATTTAATCACATTAATTCAATTGATTCATTAACCTTACAAACTTCCACTAACCAATTAATACTTTAATCAATTACACCTTATTCAAGAGTCATAAAACATTATTTAATACATTGCAACAATAATTTCATGGGATAAGATATTGTGACAACCAAATAATGTTACTACCAATGTTACTACCACATCTTAACCGTTGATTTCCATCAATCAAAGGTTATTATTTATTACGAATTAATAATTAATTAATGAGTTTGATTTGAAAAATGATAACCGTTGATTAACGGAAATCAACGGTTAAGATGTGGTAGTAACATTGGTAGTAACATTATTTGGTTGTCACAATATCCTATCCCTAATTCCATACCTTATTTTTTGAAATAGCCGAAAACAAAATATAGGGTACATATGTTTCCTTTACAATTTCTACTCTTAATTTTTCATTCTAATCATCTTTAATTTACTCAAAAATTAATCTTTCATATAGACATATAAACAAACACATGGTTGGCACCATTTCATTACACATAACCGAACTACACCGTATATGTGCAAGACTCCATAATTTTCTTCTTTTCAACAATCTTAAACATAGAACATCTTCCACCAATTAAACAACCAACATATATAATCATATAAACCACCAAATACTCAAGATAAAAGCATCCCTAATCAGCCCCACAAAATAAAAAAACACACTTGGTATTTAAATTTCCAACCATCCAAATTAACAACTATTACCTCAAATAGCTTCCAAAGGATGATCTTAGGCTTCCCTACAACTTAAACAAGAAGGAAAACTTCTCCAAGATGAAAATCCAGCAACAAGGTCGCTACCTATATGGTAGGATATATCTCCCAAATCAGTTACTCAAGAGGTGTAGTTTAAAGGGTTATGTTCCTAAGATGATTGGCAATATTTTTCATGTTGAAACCTAGGTGAAATTGTGACTAGATCATCAAGCTATTGCTTGCTCTTTTCTCACCATGTCTCTCGGCCAAAACCAGAAAAATAGAGGAAAGAAAGCTAGAAGTGAGACCTTT